CCTCACAGATCTTCTCCTGTCTTCAGGAAAGCGAAAGAGAAGGGGTTATGTGTTCCCATGAAATTGCCTTACATAGTTTTCCATGGAGCTTGGATGGGAATTAGTGGTCTGAGAGATTCAACGGTGAAGAAAAACGAAGGGAAACGGTTTGAAACCAGCAAAAAGCCCTTGTTTTTTTTGTTGATCTCCACGTGAAGTGCTCTGGTCTGCCTCTCTTTAAAAGGGGATAAGGACCGACGGTGAGGAAGTGGCGATTGAAGCAGCCCATAAAGGTGGGTAGAGGGGCGGAGACGTTCAGAGAGGCGAGTGGGACTTCGGTAGTTCGCCATGAACGCGTGCTCCATTTTTTGCGGCTCTATGGTTTCCCCTAACTCAGCGCTGATAAAATAGGATATTACAATACTAAAAACTCAATATGTTCTTTTATAAACAAAAACGTCTTGAGAATGTTTGAAGGATTTTTTATGATCTCACTGAACCCTGCAACTAATTCATGCTTAATTGACAGACAGCGGTGCCGCGTCGAGTTGCTTCGAAGCTGGTCAAACTTTTCGCTGAAGGAAACGAACTAGCATATATTGCAAGATATCGGGGCGATGCTCATGAGGGAATGTCATGCGATCAAATTCGGCATTCGTTCAAAGTTTTCAATGAAACGAAGTAAGTCATTTAGTCGTCTGTCTTTCGAAGACCAGCATGCTGATACAATTCAGATTATTTCACGCTCGTATTTTTTTCATGAAACGTATTTTTGTGTGTATGAGCCTGAGCCTAGGAAGGAGGCTCAAAAGGGCCAAAAGTGGAATTCTGCAGAATAACAAACTACACTGTTCACAGCCTACCCGCTCATTCCTAGGTTCAGTGCCATCGCGGTTGAGAGACGCCGCCACTGCCGCCACCGCGTGGTCCTCCTCCCCCTCCCAATTCACCTAGCACCATTTTTGCAGAACAGAATCTTAGGGATGATTGACCGTTTCGCTTCTTCTTTCACACACCTCCTAAACCTTCCTCCTGTGCCACGAAATTGTGCTGAATGGTTGGCACGGTCTATTGCACCGCATGCCCTTTCTTATGTACATAGACCTGCCTTCCTCGCGACAAAGCTAGCTTAGTTATACATTTCATTTTCATAACATTTTTAGTGTCTGCAGTGAGAGGAACATACAATACGGACACTTCTTTCTTTAAACACACCAGAACTTGCAAGTCCTAGACATTCACAATTTTTGAAGCGGCTCCAAGGGTTGAATATTTCCCTATCTCTAATGGTAGTCCAACTTTTTCTAGACGAAGGTTCAGATAGCTTAGCCAGATGTTGGTTTAATTCTGAAAGGGTTATCAGTCTTGCAATTATTCCACATCCCTTTTCGAACGTTCACATTTCCACCTTGCTTTCATAACTGTTGGCACACCCCTGCGACTTTATTTTAGTAAGTAGTACTGTTTTTTATTGAATTTAGAGAGCTCAACAAAAAGGTGGAAAAAGCCATAGCGAATGTGTCGACCAAAATTAAGTCTACAGCGGATCTGCAAGGTGGCTGTCGAACGGCTGAAGGTAAACGTCAAGTTATTTGCTATAAGGAAACTTGGGCTTTCTCCAAAAATCCTTTTTTTTTTGCGCATTTTCTTTTCTTTCGATCATTCTACTTGACTATTTTTTCTTTTTAGTGTGCTAGAGATTCAGCAGATGTTCTTGAAGTCACACACTTGTATGCGAGTGCTCGCAAAACAAAGGCTGCGATAGCACGGTATGTTGCTCTTTCATGGCGCTACATGTTTGGTGTTCATTTTCGAGCTTCTCATTAGCCGAGGGCTGTAATTTTGTGGGTGGATGTCTTTCTTTAATTTCATTCCGGAATGATCACCGAACCTGTCTCAAATTGCGAATTATTTCCAGTAATGTGTTTCATGTTCAAAACGACTTATGGTTTTAATTGTGCTGCGACGCGACTTAAGAGTCTTTCGTGAAACCTTGCTTCGTCCTGTTCATATAGTGAAAACATTTAAAAAGTGAATAATGATAACGAATGATTCTTTTCTTTATAGTGAAATGGGCCTCGAAGAAATTGCGCGAGCCATACTGCAAGGTCAATCTGTTAATCTTTCTCGACTTGTTGGTTCCAAGCCAGGTTTGTGACCTACAAAGCCAATAGTTTCATAGTTGCTTCTCAACTGATCATACTTTCTTGTGATTTTTTTCTCCCAGAACTAAAGGATTTAAAAACTGTGGTGGAAAATGTCGTGAATGCTATGGCCGATCTATTGAACAAAATGCCGGAAACGCTTGAAGCAGTGAAGAAAATGTAGGTTATAGAAGGTTGTAGCGGAAAGTGCTCACGCGGTTTTTTCGAAGCACGTTGAGCTCTGTTTTGGCCACTTTTTGTTGATCGCAGCCAGAAAGTGTATTTGGGCCATGAGATTGCATTAACAAACGAGCATGTATTTATACTTTCCGCACGCTTTTCTGCGCACAACACGGTCCTAAATGCGGAATGGCGTAATCGAAATACTCTTATTTGGGTTCATCCCATCGGTGCGTGCTCGCCCACCATTAGTACTCGACCTCTAATTCATTGAACTCTGCCGATTTTCCCGTCTTTGGGCCATCTAGGAACCGAACTTCGATGATTTGCAACAAACTCCGCCTACAATGGCACCCGCTCCGCCCTCCATTAGTGTTTTTTCACCCCTCTTTTAACAGTCTCAACGGTCTCTAGGCCTTTCAAAACCAAACTATGAAGATTCATATGAAACTTTGCCTAGTTGAAGACATGCCTTGTGAGCCGCCTTCCACTCCCTTCAGGTGTGCTTGATACCCTCCGAAATTTCTCCTCTCCATCACTTTTCTGCTTTGGAAACCGAGTTGCAAATTTTTAGGAAGCACCGTCCAAGTAGAAAACGCTCCGCCCACCGCAAGTAGGTCTTCAATTTGACCCAGCGACTCATTGCACACCTTTACCTATTTTTCTTCCCAGCATCTAAGCTGCTCGGAATCGAAACATATTTTTGCTTGCTGCACTACCTGTTTGGCCCATTATAGGAGGCTCCGCTTTGATCATGAGTGCTCTGTACACCTTGCTCATCCCCAGCTTCCCCTCTCCCCTCCCCTAAGTTTGAACCGGCTTCTCCAGGTTGTTCTTCAAGTAATACCGAATTTCGTGGCAAACAAACAAAGAGGAAAACACAGGGCAGACAGACAGACTACTTTCTGAGATCGCTTTATTGCTCTTGCTTTTTCGCCTCTTTTTTCTTGTACAGTACTCGACTACAATATAAATTTAAGAGCAAAGATGGAAACAAGCGCTATGCTGACCGTGTGCTGTGAATTGTCGAATAAAGCGAAAAAATGGACAGAAAAGGATAAGTCGTATCGATTGATATCAAATTTCAACGACTACTTAAATTTCAAAAAGGACGCAAGGCGTGTGGAAAATTATCAGGTGACTTTTAGGTTTTCTTTGGATTAAAATATTGCTTTTTTGGATCGAGGAATTGAAAACAAATTTGATTAATGAATAAACTTTGATCTTCTCCAACAGATCCTTGCTATGGAACGAGGTGAAGAGGTCGATGTATTAACGTGGAAGGTGGAGGTAGCGAATGTTGATCAGGTACATCCGGGGCATAAACTTAGGTTAGTTTCGTTTCTTGGTGGGAGCCAGTTAGTGTTAAGTTTTAACTTACCGAAATATTTCTTACGGGTTCCTTTGCAGTAATTTTTGAAAATTCCAGAATCGCTCCGGAGCACTTGGATGTATTTCAAATAGCTCTCAAGGATTCCGTCAACCGCCTCTTTCTCCCGAAAATTCAGCGGACCGTAAGGTATACTATATTTCGGAAGACGAGAAGAAGATCGAGTGCAGACCACACACCATAAGAGACGACGGCCAAGAGGAAGCGG